TAACTCTGGATCCGCTAAAACAGTTTATCACAATGTGATAAATTACGATGACAAAAGGCAGCAACTGCACATCGAAATCAAAAGTGAAAACTGCAAATTTTTTTGATAGCGTGTATCAAAACGAATTTTTTGCAAAGAACGGTCCAGCAGGAAACTGGACTTTTCACTTCCACTACCTTCAAATCCTTCGAGTCGTGACAGTAATAACCACTGCAAGTTTCTTAACATCTACATACACATTACTAATGCCTGGGTCTACTACCACAAAAATCGCATTTCCCAGTTTTTCTCGTTTTTTAGCAGGCATCCATGACATTCTTTCATCGAGCTACCACCAGAAAAGCTTCAACTGTCGGTGCTCAGTTTCAGTGACAGTAGCCAGCGATGTACCCATAAACGCTGAGCACAGTGATTTCAGGTGCGACTTTATCAAGCGTTTCCGGATCCATTTCGAGCCATCAGGTTTCCGCTCCTACTCAACTTTCACAACAATTTCCCACAAAATTGCAACCTGGTTATCCTATCCTAGTATGGAAATGGCACTGGACTAGGCAGCATTGAGGTACGCTGCATTACAAACTCTAGGAAGCTGCACAGAAGTCGAGGAGACACTGAGTCGCACTTCGTCTCTGTGAGCCGAAACTGAACTCTTAGCATTCTCAGAAATTCCACAAGAGAGTGACAAAAAACATACGGAATAAGCAGTGGAAAATTTGTCGCGTGTGCTAAGACTTCCCGGAGATGATTCCAGTACATTGGCGATCATCTGTGCGCATAGTGAGTTCTCTCGAGGCGACAATACAGATCCGTTGATGCCTATATCACCATTGCCTTGCACCATTATTGGATCGCTTACAGCATGCTCTGAAAGTTTAGCACCCAATAGGCATGCACCAATGGAATAACCAATTCGTTCATTCGTTTCCGTAGTAGACTGATACTGATACACGGCAAAAAAAAAAATAAATGGCAACGCGCACCAGACTAGCCGGTGCGATCATGCGTTTTGTGCAATT